CTCTCTCTCTCTCTCTCTCTCTCTCTCTCTCTCTCTCTCTCTCTCTCTCTCTCTCTCTCTCTCTCTCTCTCTCTCTCTCTCTCTCTCTCTCTCTCTCTCTCTCTCTCTCTCTCTCTCTCTCTCTCCCTCCCTCTCCTTTTTGTATAGTATTTTATTAGAACGCTACGCCGAAGGCATTGAAATTCGTTGATAATCGCCCTCGTACGCGCGCGTAATATCGGGCGTCGAGAAATTGGTGTTCTCGTGGTCGGTCGATTCTCACAGTACCTCACGCAGAACTGAGATAATCTCGAACCACGTTCTCCAAACTGTACTTATTTTCTCCTTCTTCAGTAAGACAGTATACAGAACAAATACAATGATCTTCTCTTTCGTAAAATACCAAACAAATTTCGTTCTCGCATAAATCTCGAGCGCGACATTTGGAAACGAGATCTATCGTTTTTATTAGTTCTTCGCGATAAATATTTTCGCATCCAATTCCATTTTGAGTCGACTTCAATATTTCCATTGCTAATCTAAAGGTGGAAAAGCAGTCTGAACTTAGATGGTACATGGGTTAAAGCGAGTTTGCGACGCTTCTCGCGTTCGGCTAAACGACAGCAGCGCGTTATCCCTCGGTAAATAAACACAGCCGATAGGCATTGCTTCTCTCCGCGGTCGTGTGCATGCGCCATAATGTGCTCGTAATGTATTGCACGTGCATGCACGCGGCTGTGGATCGTCCTACAGTCTAAGGTTTGCTCGACACACGCGTATAACGCAATAAATGATAAGTAGGTACAATTTTATGTTAGCTTTCACGTTTTACAGAACAGGGTCGTTGAAATGAAACGAAGATAAAACGCGTTACATACATATATATATATGTGGTGTGTGTGTGTGTGTGTGTGTTGTGTGTGTGTGTGTAGAGCGCGAAAGCAATCCTTCTCGGTCCATTCGCGACAACACACATCAACATTGTACGCGAGAATTCGATGTTCCGATTATCCGAGGCAGTGCACGCACCACAATAACGAGAATTCGGAAATTGTCGAGTCACGGATCCAAAAGTCCGGATAAGATCGATGAAATTAAAGTTAATAGATTTCTTAATTTAACCTTACATTTAGTTTTCCACTTCTCGACAAGCCATACGGCACAAAAAAAGAAACAAAATATTCGAACGGAATTACGAATTTTTGCTCAATATATGAATATGCATCGCGGTGATGCATTCTTCGATGAATCGCGCTAAGAAAATACAAATGTAATAAGGAGTATGTATGTGTGTATATATGTGATTATGTGAAGTTAAAAACGCGACTCGAAAGCTTCTAACAGGCGAGAGCAAATTTTTTTTTTAACAGATCTGAAACGTAAACGAAACGCACAAATAACAGTCTGCTACAATGTCGAACGTAGAAAAATACAAGTGTCTATGTACAAAACAAATAATAAATCTTTCCTCTCCTTGTCATCCCCGTCTTTCTGCCTATTTGCACAATATCCTCTTCTGTTTTTATAATCATCTCCTCACGATCTTCTCCCAAACACGTACGGAAAAGCACTCCCTCTCTCTCTCTCTCGATTCTATTCGCCATGAACTTTATTACGCGAATAAACGAAACTGGAACGTGCGATCGACGTGTTCGTGAGTCGCGCGAGGAACAAAGATGCGTTAATTTCGTCATTGAGGCGCCATCGGACAAAGACTCGCGCCAAGAGCACAGCTGAATGGCCAAATATTACATCCCTCTGTTTTCTTCTCAGTCAGCATCTTCCTTTTCTTCCTCTTATTCTATCGTTATTATCTTTCTCAACCTTTCGCTCAAGAACCGCGATTGCTCGCTATCGCCGCGATTCACGAGTCGACGATGAAGCGGCCCCTTACGATAGCGTATGCATGTGTATGTGATGTTCTATACGAGACTCGATGATATCATGCTCGCTTGTTCCTTCCATGCCGTGCGTACGAAGTCCACAAATCTATGGCATGGAACGTGGCGCAAGAAAACAAATCGACAAACTGCAGACTGACAGACAGCAGACAAACGAGGGAGCGACGCGGAACTTTGCTTTAGGTCATATACCGCATCACGGCACGAAGGGCATACAGCAATTCTGCTTGCATGCGAGCCTCTAGAATCATTAGATTTACGTGGACCTGGAAAATAAAGCAAAAAGGCGATATTTAGCAATGTCTAACAGTTTCGTTTTGTCGTTACTGCTTATGCAAGAATAACTTTTATGTTTCTTGTTTCATCATGATAAAAGTCTTATCAAAAACGTTAAATGGCTAATTCTAAATGTATAATGCATTTCGTGTAAGCTAATCTTAACTTTTTATCGTAAAAACTTCGCAACAGTTATTTTCAGCCGAATAATATCTCAAGTATTTTATATTTAACACGTTTAACTTGTAAGCCTATTTGCATAAATCACTGTTAATTTAAATTTCTACAAGATTTGTTTAAAATAAGAAATGCAATCTTATTGCATTTCTTATTTTAAACAAATCTTGTAGAATTTTCTATTACTATATTTAAATATGCTTTGATTAAAATCATTTCATTTTAAGCAAACGATATCTATATATTATGTACTCTATTTCTCAATAAAATTATTTTAAGTAAAATTTATTTGAAAGATATCTCTACGTACCTTTTCACTATGTTTGAACTCCCTCATGACGCGATCGTAATCCCTCTTGGTAACACGCTCCGGATAACAAACGGCGCTTTTGATGAAAGTTTTGAGGCTACGCTCGAGCAATTGATTCACCTCGTTATAATCATAATCGTCGTGCCTGATGCCAAACATGCACTGTATATAGTTCCAGATCGCCCGTCTAAAGCGTGACGTATCGACCTTGTTGTGCGTGCCCATGGTATAGTACGTCAGATTGTATGCGGTCTTGAATTTGTCGTCGAGGAGATTACCGACGTCATTGTACAAACGATTCACCAAGGAGTAACCGTGATCGTCCCAGGAGTAGTCCTGGACGCGGAAGGTTGGTATGTCGTTCAGTTGACCGCGCTGAAAGGACAAAAAAAACTTGTGTCAATAAAAAAAAAAAATAAAGACGCCAAGAGACGAGAAAAGTTGCATCAATAAAAAGTCGCGAAAGACATAAAAAATTCTTGTTGAGAAAATATGAGAAGGAAATATACACCACAACTGGCGAAGTAACTTTTTTATCATCCCGCACATTAACGCGTAGCATAAGCGCCGTGACTGTGCCCCGCCTTCATAGTCTATCTTAAGTCAGCCAATAACACAACGTCGTCGCGCGGTAAATATTCATAGTAGTTACGCGAGCAAAGTAGTGAGCCGACGCGCGCGGAGCGCGAGCAGCCGGCTTAAATATTCATGAATGAGCCACGCGCTACCTTGGAATATCGTCTTTCGACTCTAATCTATTACGCACTACTTAACTAGGCGTATAAAAACAGCGGGCGTGCGCGAGGAATCATCGCCGCATTGAATAACATAAGAGTCGCGAATGACGTTGACGTTATCAACATAAATGGATGAGCCCAATTAAGATACGACGCAACGGACTATCGGGCTAACCGTTTCTCCCAGTTAACTAACACAGTAAACACGGCGCGGAGGAGGCTCACCTTGGCGAAATCCTGGTAGATGAAAGTGGGATCCTCGATGAATAGACCGATATCGGAGTCGAGAACCGAGCTGCTCCTCTGCGGCGCTGCTGCCAGCTCGGCCGACTGCGTCTCGACAGTCTCGAATCTCTTGGAGAGCTCTTCCTGCGTGATCTGATAAGACTCGGACTTTTCAGAGAGGCGCTTCATACGTTCCATCAAAGTTTCCACTCCAACCTCCTGTTCGCCGACTATGCTCGGCGATGACGGCGGCGACGGAATATTTTCTATATTAAAACAAAATAATTTCAATCGCTAGAATTATATAAAATTTTTATTTAAATGTAATTTTTATTTAAATGTAAAGCAAACGTATGAATATAAATACAACATTAGTTTATAGTAAAAAATTATTTTAAACAAGATGCTTTTCATAGATTTTTGAACGTCATAAACCAAATTTTTCCAAAATGTTAGATATTCAAAATAATTGAAGTTTAATATACAAAAAAATCCTAGAAAAATTTGGCTTGCGGCCAAATCATTTTCAGTATAAAAATTTATAAAAGGCACTTTGTCTAGTTGAAAATAATAAAAAAAATATTTTCTTGTAAACTAATATAATTCATAATTATAATTCATAATTTAAAAAAATTTTCGTCATCGTTATTTATGGGAAATATTATGTACCAGTCTTGCCGTCTCCGTTGGGGATCTTTTTAGGACTGCTTGAGAGCTTTTCTTTGGCAGGCGGTACGTTATTACTATTGTCCTGGATGTTCTCCTTGTAGTGATGGCCAGTTACGTTATCCAATTCCTCGTTAATTCCGCAAGAAAATACGAAAGACGATAACGAGTGGAAGTGAGCTAATAGAACTATCGCATGGACGACCTCGGCTAAGGACCAATTATCATCGCCTTTAGTCAATTTCTGGAAATACAAGCATGATATTGTACCGTTGACATTCTCGAATATCGTATAATTTTACGCATGAATCCTGAATTACGACGCTTACCTCTATGTGCGACTTATTCAGGAGCCACGGTCTATGGGCTAAGATCTTGTTGATCTCATAGAGATCTTGCAGCTTCCCCGGAATCGATCTCAAGCCTTGGAGCCACGAAGGGTCACCGCCCTGAAGAAGGAATTCTCCCTTCTGCAGGTTTATAAGGTAGCTACATTGGTGCCTACCCGCAGCCTGAAATTACATCGAGATAGATCTCCAAACCTGTTCTGGTCAATTTATCTTTTTCGTTCCATCCGCAACACTTATAATGCCACCCTCAGAAAACATTTTTAACACAATCATCTCTCCTACACTCGGAGAGATTATTATCCATTAAATCATATATAGTTATAAATAAATCACAGAAATTAGAGATGATCTCAAACAAGCTATAACTGTGAATGTTCCATTAATTGATCAATAAAATCATTTAATAAAATAAAAATGTAAGTTATATAAATATGAAATATAAGTTAAAGATCCGTATGCGCGATAGAAACATTTTACACGAAACGCAAAGCTTCAGACGTTTCAAATGCCGTGTAATGATGTAATATAATTACAGCCTAATCAATGCATATCCTGAGCTACATAATAAATCAACTAATTTATGACCGTTAAGCTTCGACGGTGCAGGCCTCGTAATCACGATTATCGCGCTCAGGCCGTACATCACAATAAGCAGACTGCAGAATTAGCTTGCAGATAATGTTCATCGATAAGACACACTACCCGCAGGGAAATAAAATAAGGGTAAATAAAAACGATCAAGCGTGCGCGCGCGAGTCGGTCGAAAGGCAATTTTGCCGCGCGAGGAATTTCTATTCGCGTATTGAGTGCCGGATGATGTCGCGTGCATTATTGCCGTCAATGCACGTGTATTTGCGCGTGTGTATGCGTTATATCGCGCATCACGCGCGATAAACGGTGGTTTTCCCATTCCACAAAATTTTCGAGAACGAGCGTCGGAGTTATTGGCTCGATTTTGTCGGGAGAGGGGGAGGGGGATCCGAGCGGCTTGCCGTATGCGTTTTTCAATAACAAATTTCGACCGGCAATAGGCGGAATTGACGGCGACGTGATGATGCATCGGAGCGCAAAATTGCACGAGGTCGCGGCCGCCAATATCGTCCGTTATCACGCGCACGATCATATCCAGCACATGACGAACAGCAACATCCGTTTCAAGGATATATATGCACTACTCAACCCCACATCCCATGACGATGAACAATCCCATGAATCTTCCATGGATATTCACGTTGTTGGCCTTATAATAACGATCGAGAAATGTTAATCATAGAAAATTGATCAAAGCAATAATAAAACTATCAATATCAATGATTAAATATCAGTAACTAAGAAGAATATAAATTTTTATCAATATCAGAAAACTCAATATCAATATCAATAATAAAATAACATGCATTAAAAGTGAAAACTAAAAGTATATACGTGAGTTGAGTTGTGAAATCGATTCGTCGGCAATTTAATATTTAAATGTACTAATTAATCCTATAATAAAATACATTTTGCATAAAGAGACAGATGTTAATAGTGGAAAATTGAATCTAATGATGCGGCTAGTTAATCCGTAAAATTTGTTCTCGAAAATTTAATATGTATATTACGTAGGCGTGATTATTTGAGGTTTATATTACCTGATGTGAACTCAGCGGCGATCTATTTATTCCCCGCGTGACTAACTTTGCAAAGCCCCCGCGGGCATGAAACGCGTCAGTTTAACATCCCTGACTCGTCATTTCACCAACCGGGGAATCTCGCGTAGGCGGCGGATGCAGCACGATCCTGACAGAGTCGATCGATCATCGTGACAGGACATGGTAATACCACGGTAAAGAGGCGGAAGAGCGAGCGCGAGTGAAAAAAACGGCAGAGAAGAGAGAGAGAGAGAAAGAGAGAGAGAGAGAGAGAGAGAGAGAGAGAGAGAGAAAGAGAGAGAGAGAGAGAGAGAGAGAGAGAGAGAGAGAGAGAGAGAGAGAGAGAGAGGAGAGTGAAAGAAAAGATGCGATGATGTACGCAAACAAGATATGTGTTTGCCATGAGAATGGTAAATCGATCGATTCGAGAGTCACGATAAGAAGAGAGTTCGTAAATATATTTTCGTTCCTTCAAGAATCTAGAAGATCTTTCGAGGAAATGCGAGTACTTCGTTTCGTCACGTCATGAAAAAAATTAGAGCGTCTATCTCATATCACGAATAATCGATCAGATTATAGCACTAAAAGTTAATTCAACGGAAATTTGTCAATTACAGAAATTTGCATTACTTATCGTATCACGCGACGATTGTATCAGAGATTAACGAGTTATAATTATCGTATTTGACATGAAGAAATTTACCGGCGATATCGATCTCTGTTTTTCAGAATTATCGCGCAGGTATTTATTGGGAAGATGATAAAAGTAGTGCATTATCGCAGCAACGAGAGTAACAAGTATGTGCGTGTGGCAGCGCAATTTGATTTGCGTGAAAAACGCTTAAAATACACACGCTACCTAAACATCCGTGATATTGATACTGCAATATTACCTATTCGGTAATTGTAAAAATGCAATCGGAATGTTTTCGCGAAACGCATATCCTGTTATTTCTTTCATCATTCGAATCATAAAGAAAATATGCTCTGCATAAATTTCTCATAATATTCTATCGTAATTTGATTTGATTCAATGCTTCTTCGCACCTCATAATACCTACGTTATCGTTTTTTCTTTCTTATGCAACGCACGCTATCTTTAGACTAATTGGAGTTATTAAACTTATTAAAACTATTGAGATAACAGCAGCACATTCTCATTTCTCACATTAATTAAAGGTATTAAACGCGAATTTAAGATGCAACGATTCATGATAGCAATGATACTTATCTTCGAGAACACTCCTGTATACTTCTTTAATTTATTCTGTATGCGAAACGTCTAGTATCTTATTCAGACAATGATTAATGAAATATGACTATAATAGTCGACTCGAATAAATCAGTAAAAGATAAAGACCTGCATTTCATTATTATTTCTACTTTCAAATAAGAAATCTAAGATCTAACGTCTATCTTTTAAATACTTCTCACATGATTTCATTGATAAATCTGTTATAAATCTGTTATAAATCTGTTACGCATCGACGTTGCTTGCGGTGCAATTGACTTCTCCAATTTCCGAACGAGAAACGATCCAAAATAATTGCGAACGTGACTCCCGAAGAAACGACTCCAAGCACAATGTTTACCAGTAGGAAAGCTGTTTTTCAGATACCTTATCACTTTATCGCAATCATCCGCGTGTACTGTCTAATAATTTACTTCGTCCTTTTCCGCGCACTCCGCGCAGAGTATTTTATCTCTTCGAGATAAAATATTTCTCGATCGATCGTACACGCCGTGATGATATTTTGTCCATCGCGCCGACCTACCGATGCGTCTCGCGTGTTCAATCAAATTGAGAATTATTCGAAGATCAAGCTCTAAGATTACGCGAACGAGTGCCGAAGGTGCGATAGTTAAATACGAATCGAATAGATCTCGATTTTTCGAATATAGAACGACATTAATAATTGTCAGCTGGACGTTTGAATAATAGTTTAGCGGTTTCAAATCCGAGTTTCAAGGAAGTAATAAAGAATAGATCTAATGCGCGGATTGTCAAAATGATCAGTTGAATATATAGGATCAAGCTCGCAATGACTCGCAACGACATCCGATCGCGTATCATACAGAGGCGGAAGCTGTAACCTCGATATTGTATCCTGTAGAGATAGCAGTTTTACAATCCGCGGTCTGGCATTTTACAATAAACAAAGTCGGTTGCGGCAACGAAATGCTCGTCAAACAGCCGTTAACTCGACAATTCAGAGTAAACCAGTTTGCGAAATCTACATACCTGCTCTCGCGCTTATATCACGTGTTTAACAACACGCCGAGAGTTTCTCTCTCGCTGGTTTTATGCTTTATATATATTCATGGAAATATATATTCAATCGCCAGGTATGCAATTGGCTGATTCGAGTTAGCCACCAGGGAAGAAGTAAGATTTTAACTCGAGAAACGAGTTCTTGGACAAGCCGTCTTAATTTTGCAAGGAATGAAAATGCGAATTAAAAAACAAAATAAATCTAATAAATTCATTCCAATTGAAGGCTAATTGTAGAAAACAAGCTGATTTGCTTTCTCGAAAAAAAAAAGAAGAATACTCGAATACTTAGGGTATTCTACAACTCTATAAAATATCCTATTTTTAAAGATGAATAAAAATATCATGACTTCAAAAATATATCTTATTTTTATAAACAGGAATGTTGTGAATTTGTTCTTCGGTGCGAAGTGAAATCGACAAATCAATTTTATCTTTCTGCCTGCGCTTATGGTATCTAGACAAGCCTGTTTCTCGCACGAATATGTATTTTTTAATATGTATTTTAAACATTAAATGATAAATGATTCTTTTATTTAAAAATATGAGCTTGTCCGATTCTTAAACACCTTAAACATTCTTCAAAATGTTATTTATAAAAACGTTTATACGCAATATACTCAAGTTTTCCGCGATTTAAAAACTAAATTATTTTCAATAAGAAATTAAGCAGGACTTACATAATTTCAAAAAATAAATCGAATTTTATCTCGTCTCTCGAATTCATGACTTAGTATTATCATATTATATCGCGGTTAGTTATTGAAAGTGTGACGTTTTCAAGCTGATTCTTATATGTACATGCTCTTTACACGTATGTCCAAAAGATAAGGTTATATAATTCTGTATAATAAACGGCATGTTTTGATACAAAAATAGCTGAAAGTAAAGAAAATGAGTGCGTAGATCGCCAAGTAAAGATCATAAAGGAACAGTCAACGTTATTTTTCATATCTCCAATTGCTTTTCACGAGAACGTATGCGGAATTACGAAACGCACACGCGCTGCATTTACTCGGTTTGCGGATAACCTTTAACCCGGTGACCCGCTGTCGAGGGTGATGAGGGAACTAAAGAGAAAAGACGAAGACGCATCATCACCGTGGCAAAGAGCTTAGCCTTGCGAGCAACAATTCTCTATGCGCATGTATGATAATATATTCAATAAAATTAAACGTTTTATGAAAGAAAATGCTTGTAAAAAAAACTTAAAAAAAAATGAAAAACGTGTTTAAACTCTGCAAGGTAATAAGTAAAGTTTCTAATGAATAAAATAGGAACCTTTAGTTAATGCCATCAACATATACCATAAGATATGTTAAACTTTAATTACTTTCATTAAATTATCAGTTTAATTAAATGTCACGTAATAAGACATAATAAAAATAATAGAAACGTATCTGAAAATCAATTAATGGAACGTAAGAAATTTTCTAATATTCTTATATTCTGAGTTAATAAAAAATACGATTTGTAAAACTTTTTTTGTAAAATAGTTCAGAAAATAAGACAGAAAATAAATATTCACCATAATGGCAATGAGATGTCTGTAGTCGTAAGGAAGTGGTCCGTCACCCCGTAGGATGAAATGCTGAGTTCGAAGGAAATGTTCGAGATACGATGGATGCGAGGACATTACTCTTGAAACATGATCCAGCCTGTTGTTCTGTAGGAAAGCATCCATCAACAACATATGCGTCTGTAACAATCAAAATACAGTATTGTAAACAAAAGCATTGCACAAATATAATAGATTAAAGACGCATAGAGTTCGATCAGCCATCGATCAAAATATTGTCAAAAGTTTGAGAGAAGATTGCCAAAAAAAAAGATAATTAAGTTTATTAAAATACAATATTCATAAAAATGGCTTTTATTCCATAGAATCGCTATAGAGAACGATTTGTCTACTTCTTCACAAAATGTTAGAAATACATCCGAGTTTCAAATCCCGCTTGTCGTATCTCTCGGGTCGAAAGAAAATCAGCGTATCTTCGCACCTATCTAATAATTGACTAGTTAGATCACGTTGTTCGGTATTATTCTAAACATTACGTGCGTGTGTCGGTGTGCCGTACTCTTGCTTCAGGTGATAAATTTTCGGCGTTAGAAAGTACGCAGGCACGTTTTCACCTACGCGTCGCACATAATGACAAGAACCGTCATCGCCGCTGAAGAGCATCAATTATGCATAAAGGGCGTCAAGGGCGCTAATCGCAATATTAATTACATAATCGCGTTTATAACACGTGCACAAATACGGGGGAGTGGGTTTCCGGGTCATCCGAAAGCGATCCACGCAATCAGGTGTTTGCGTTGCATCATTCAACGGTTCTTGACTACTGCTGATTAATACATCACCTCATGCCTTTGTGTACACATCTCGCGAGAGATATGGGCATCTATCTGATAAATATCTGCATAAATTACACCTCGGTACACTGGACATGCTACATAGAGTATCGTTTAATGATCGTGTTATATTCCGCAACGTGTGATTGCTCCTTAATCGATCGAGTAGAACAAACAGTACACCGACGCGGAATTATCATGTTTAAGAGGCGGGAAAAGAAATCGCAAAAACTTGCCGTCAAGGAACGCGTAATTGATATTGTGAAAAAAAAAATCACAAGTCACGTGATATTTGAAAACTTACATGTTAGATATTACCTGCTACATTAATTCCACATGCTTCCGGGATTTTTTTTTTTTTTAAGTATTTTCAAACGTAATTCTAACGCAAACGTTTCATCGATAGAATTCATTATTTAAAATTAGAAAATAAGCGAACGTGACTGTGCGTGACTCGAGTCACGTTTCACCGCGTAATGCAATTTATTAAGTACGCGCTTGTTAATATTTATAGTTCCTGTTTGCCAGTTTTTCTTGCGCTACCGATATTGAAATCAACTCATCCATTATAAATATTCCGCCTGTCGGACTTATTAGCCGAGCTTCCGCTGGCTGAAAGAGTTCTGATGATCGATCGGCGCTGACGCAATCACATTTAGGGCCGTTTCAACAAATGCATCGGGAGTAAACAGTCGGGTAAACAGTCGTTCGTTATGCGCGCAATACATATCGCGAGTTGATGCACGTGATCGCATCTCGAATGGGAATGGACTTCTCATGGAAGCCGGGTTAGTCAGCTTGAGCTTCGAATTCTTTGTCTCCGTTGTGTCGTAAGAACAACGTTTCGCGCGTACGTGCGAATCTTTGATTCGCCTTGATCGTTTCCTACGACACCACCTCTTCCGCATACGTGCGAAAACTCTCTCAAGCAACGCTCATTCTTTTCTTACACGTCCTGGCATGCAAAAAAAAAAAAAAGATTGTCAGTGAACGTGCGAATTCACAATAAAGTCAGCGAAACCGAAGACCTCGACGGTTCGATGCAGAGAGACTATTTAATACGCGATTTAAATTTTCATGATGTAAACAGCGCATGAGAATTTTTACAGAGATAATACTTCTGTTTTGCCAGAAAGAATTTCTCAACAATCGATAACGAGTTTATTTCACAAGCCGCATTACTTTCGCGTTTAGTCATTATCTACTGTTTGGTCGTTAAAGCGTTGCCAATACATCGATGCATTGTCATCGGTGTGTTATCGGTATTTATTAATAATCTGAACAAATATTTCTAGAAAATTGTCTCATCGACTACTTTTCACGTCGCGTGGTGTGATCGCTTGATTTAATATTATTCATCCGACATCTATTGAAGTGATAATCGATACTGACTGGAGTTCATAAGTAGCAATTAAATAATCACAGTTCGACTTATGCTACTGTGTCGCGAGTAGACTGAAAGTAAGCAGTTATGACGAGTTTATACAAATGCAAGCATAATTTGTCCCATAATGATGTGGTCGACCTTGTAATAGGTCGCTAACCTGTGTGCACATACATACACACACACACACACACACACGCGCGCGCGCGCGCCACACACACACACACACACACACACACACATACATGAAGCACTAACCGCAAAAGCGGCCTTTTCACTTTGGCGCCGGCTTTCGCCTCGAGGAATATTAAACGATGTACCGGACGTAACGTACGAACACAAATGGGACGTAGTCACGTTACGCATCATCCGTTATAATTGTTGCGGGGAGAATTATCATATAAGTGATAACGGAATGTTATGTCGTGACGACGAATCGCACAACCGTCATTGTGCTTCGTCCGCGTTCACCTCGCCGCGACTCGTCGAATCGTTATCACTCCTAATCAGATTGAAAAATATCACAGACGGTTACACCAGGCGTATTAACATACACTTTCATTGGACAATCGTCGCGGTCGATTTCATCGAGAGATATGCGACATAAACAAGCGAAACAAAACGGGTAAATGCGCTTACCGAGTTAATCATCATCGAATGATTAATCAACGATTTAACAGAACACGGCTGATTATTATTATTCATTCCGTTATGGAAACGGCTTACTGAATGATAAAATATCTAGTGGTTCCAGTACATTAAAGTCAGATAACGAAATCGGTGCGAACATATAACCGGACTTTGCAAGATTCCTATTCGAACTGTACAGAATAATCGATAAACAAGTTGGTTGTAAATAAAGAAAATAAATGAGAAATATTATATTTTTCATCTAATATTGTCCCTTACAAAAATAAACATCAATTCCTATTTTATTTTGCAGAGATTTTACGAGTACATTTTTTGCTATTTTAATTAATTCAAACGCATTTACACTTTAAAGATTTACATAAGCTTTTGCATAAATAATTTTTTATTTTTAAGTTCATTTTGCTGTAAAAAAGTTTTACATTTTTGCAATATTTATCATATTTTCTTTATATTTTTCCATTATGACACAATCTCAAATTCACTTTCGCGAATCACTTTTCTTCTAAATTTTGGGGCTCGGCAATTGAGTTTTTCGACATGATTGCGGAAACAATCTCGCAAGGAAGATTTCCGTCCATTTTCTCGCTAAACTAGGCGAGGGCGACAATACATGGATTCGATTGTGGACAGACAAAAGTACATTTAATAACTCAAAAGACTCATTAAGGAAGCTGGTTCTCGAAACAACCGATCCATTATTAAATGACGGTCGGTGTTCGTTACCGAGAGAGGCCGACTCGGCGGAAATAACAAATTACTCAGTGTCAGCTAGTCAGCCTGGAAGCCGGAGATCGAGAGACTAGCTCAAGCACTCGAGAAAATTTACTCGATACTTTTCGATAAGATCTCAAAGACCACATCGCTCGAGGAAATCCCTCTTCTTTCCGGGGGGGGAGGGAAAAGAGTTCCAAGAGAAATCCCGTACATTTGATTAATCGATTTATAAG